AAGCGAGTCTCCTGCCTCCACCTCCCAAGTAGCTGGGACCACAGGCGCCCGCCACAACGCCCGGCTATTTTTTGGTTGCAGCCGTCATTGTTGTTTGGAGGGTCCAGGCTGGGGATACGAACCTGCCACCTTAGGTGTACGTGGCTGGCGCCTTAGCTGGTTGAGCTATAGGCACCGAGCCACTGTCAAGATATCTTAGAGGACACAGATTTCTAGAAGCTAGCATAAGTTTTTAAGTTCTGAAATATAAATTCTCCAATCTTAAGGACTCATAATCCAAACAGCATAAAATACTGATTTACAGAGTAACAAACTAAGAAATCTATTTGGATTTCTGGGCTTTGTTCTTTTACTTGATAAAAAAAGATAAAATAGAAACATGCAAAAATGTATTTTAACTGAGGCCTATAATGTGACATAATAATAACAATAATGTTATTTCTTTTTTTTTTGAGATTGAGTCTTACTTTGTTGCCCTCAGTAGAGTGCCATGGCATCACAGCTCATGGCAACCTCAAACTCTTGGGCTTAAGAGATTCTTCTGCCTCAGCTTTTCAAGTAGCGGGGACTACAGGAGCCCACCACAATGTCCACCTGCTATTTTTAGAGATGAGGTCTTGCTCTGGCTCAAGCTGTTCTCAAACTCGTGAGCTCAAGCAATCTACCTGCCTCAGCCTCCCAGAGTGCTAGGATTACAGGTGTGAACCACTGCACCTAGCCTCTGATGTTGTTTTTAACATTTAACTTATATTCTTTGACAAATTCTAACTAGTGATACATTGACATTGAAACATACACACAGAAATATTTACTGGCAATCAGATATACCTGTTTAGTTTTTTTTTGTTTTTGAAAAGAGTACATGTTTTATCAACTTAACGTACAAAGTTAGAAAACCAATTAAGAGCTCAAGCACTCTAAACCAAAGAGCAAAATCAGCAGAATCAAGGATTTTTTTAAAAAACAGGGTTGAATCTAAAAAACTTTACCAATATTTATTTCTAGATTTTCAAAGGATTTATTAAAAGGTTTAAGCTAATATCCATGTTCTTTTTAGTTACTGTCAGATGACATACAGTGAATTTGTTATGGCCTTCCCCATTTATTAGTTAGCCATAGTTTTTATGAAAATCCAAAAGTAACAATTTTTACAAGTTTAGAAAACTAAACAGAAAATTTCAGATAAAAAAACAATGGGGGCTGCGCCCCCATAGCTCAGTGAGTAGGGTGCCAGCCACATACACTGAGGCTGGTAGGTTTGAGCCCAGCCCAGGCCTGCTAAACAATGACAACTGCAACCAAAAAATAGCTGGGTGTTGTGGCAGGCACCTATAGTCCCAGCTACTGGGGAGGCTGGGGCAAGAGAATCGCTTAAGCCCAAAAGTTGGAGGTTGCTCTGAGCTGTGATGCCACAGCACTCTACAGAAGGCGACAAGGTGAGACTCTGTCTTGCCAAAAAAAAAAAAAAAGACAAAAAAACCCAATGGGGGCTTGGTGCCCATACTCAGTGGTTAGGGCAGGGCTGGTGTGTTTGAAGGTGCCTGGGCCTGCTAAAACAATGACAACAACAACAAAATAGCCACGCGTTGTGGTGGGTGCCTGTAGTCCTAGCTACTTGGGAGGCTGAGGCAAGAGAGTCACTTAAGCCCAACAGCTGGAGGTTGCTGTGAGATACGACGCCATAGGCACTCTACTGAGGGCAACATAGTGAGACTCTGTCTCAAAACAAAACAAAACACAATGGGGATTTAGTGATATTATTTATATAAAACATGAAAACAACTCAAGATTTTGAACTGACTGCATAGACAGTGTTTCTAATCTCTGATTTAACTATGCAGTATAGGATTTATAAAATAAAAGGAAGTTTCCTGATGAAGAAAGTGCAATTTCTGCTCTGAAATGGTCAAATGATGGAAAGACAAATGCCTTATATACCCAAATTTTTCTATTTTGCTGATAAACATTTTACATGCATATACATATATGTGTGTGTATAAATACACACACACACACACACACATATATATATATATCTTTGCTGGGCAGAAAGATAAAAGCAATTTAAAATTTTAGCCAGGTAAAGTGGCTCACACCTGTAATCTCAGTACTGTGGGAGGCTGAAGCAGGATTGTTTGAGCTCAGGAGTTTGAGACTTGTCTGAAGGAAGAATGAAATTCTCTTGCCTCAGCCTCCCAGGTAGCTGGGACTATAGATGCCCACTACAATGCCCAGCTATTTTTTGGTTGCAATTGTTGTTGTTGTTTGGTAGGGCTGGGCCGATTCACACCTACCAGCTCCAGTGCATGTGGCTGGTGCCCCAGCCCGCTGAGCTACAGGTCCCAAGTCTTTAAAAGCTATTTTACCAACTCTAAGAAAATTGAATAGTATTAACCAGTTTCACATGAAACATGATGGTTTATAAAGGTGAGAATATGGGAGCATCAAAGATTTAATGACAAAATATTCTAAATTTAGCTCCCAATAGGTTTCAGAAATAATAATCTATGGGCAACTGCACTGCCAACAGCACAAAATCTCATGTTGACTGCCTCACCCACCAACAGATTTGTCTGCCATGCCCACATCTCTAGATGTCCAGCGACAAAATCCACAGGCCAGGTAATAGGCTTTCTTCATGGTGGTCTTGGCTGGGTCATCTGGAAGCTGTGTGGAGATACTTGTTGCCCGAGTGGAGAGGGTGTGCATACAGCCGGGACAGTCAAAGCAGTTGGCACATCTGTTACATGACAAACACAGTCACTCATTCATTTGAAGAATATATATCAAGCATCTTCCATGTGCCGGACATTTTTCTAGGTATTAGCAATTCAAGAGAGTCTTTTCTTTCATCTCTCAAGAAAAAAGAAATAAAGCTCCTGAAGAATTAGAGCCTGACCCAATACTATTCCTCAGAGGGAAACACTATTAATAGGGAGTGTTTACTATTCCAGACACATTTTATGCTTATACAGATCACAAAGATTGCTGAGGAAAAGAAAAATATTGTAGCTTATGCCTTTAGAGAGGACAGACCAATTGTGTGATAGAAAACTGAATTAACGATAATATAAGCAGCAATGAAGTTAACTTTGGAAAATAACTGCTTGACTGCTGTGCCAGAGAGCTGAAACAGATACCAAACAACACTCCCAAATTGGAATGGTTCAAAAAGTGGCAAATTTTCAGGGCTTTCTATTCTCTCATTAGATGCTACTCTTCCTAGTGCTCAGCCAATGTTTCCTCATTAGGAGTCTCTTTGTCCTGTTGCTTTTAACTCTTCCAGAGATTATCAAGTGTCCTGTGGTCCTGTACCTGCCTTGAAGTTCTGTTCTATAACTTCCATTATGATATTTTGCCATTTTCCACTGTGATATTTTGCCATTTGGCTATCATTCTTAAATGAAGATAGTAAGAGTATCCATCTCACAACGACACTGAGGATTAAATGATAAAAATTAATTTGTGGAAAGTATACAAAACAATATCTGGTTATCAGGAGCTATTTCTCAGGGCAGGAAACACAATTTAACAGTGTTTCACATCCATCAAGGTACAGAGGTATGACTGGCAGCAAAAGGAGTTTTTCACTAAGCTAAAAACTAAACAGCATCTAGCAGCAATAAGCAAACCTAGCAGCCAAACTTTGGTTTCTAATACCATTCTCCAGTAAAAGGAACCAAGGAAGGCTCTTTGGAGAACTGAGCAATTTTAAGACTGAGGGAGAAAATATCCAAGATGAGTCCATAGTATCTTGTTGTATTGGTAAGTAAGAAAAGGACCAAACTGGCTCGGCACCTGTGGCTCAATCGGCTAAGGGGCCAGCCACATACACCTAAGGTGGCGGGTTCAAATCCCCAGCCCGGGCCTGCCAAACAACAATGACGGCTGCAACCAAAAAATGGCCGGGCATTGTGGCAGGCACTTGTAGTCCCAGCTACTTGGGAGGCAGAGGCAGGAGACTCGCTTGACCCCAGGAGTTGGAGGTTGCTGTGAGCTGTGATGCCATGGCACTCTACCCAGGGGGATAGCTTGAGGCTCCGTCTCAAAAAAGAAAAGGACCAAACTAAGTAAGAGAAACTCCTGCCCCACAATGATGGGGATATGAGGAAGGGACACAGAAGTCAATTTAAAGAGCTCCCACTGGCCAAAGCTAGAACAATTTGAACAAAAAATAAAAGTAGTATGGGATTAAAACCCAAAGTGTAAATTAATCCGTGATCCCACAGTCCTATATAAATGATTAAATTTAAAAAATGAAGAAAAGGAGGCAGAGGCAGATCTTCCATGTAAAAGAATTCTAATAATTCATGTGGACAGTCCTAAAGAAGTGAGGAGCATACCTCCCCATTCTTTAACTGTGGGCTCTGACAGTGGTTCTCCTTCCAAAGAGTATAGTGTGAAAAAAGAGAGACCAAAAAAAAATCAGTAATTTTATAGTACAGGAATATAACAAATACCTCAATCTAGGTAATCAATAAATCACGTTAATAACATTTACCCTTGATATGATAAAAGATGGCACTTCACCTCTGTGGTTCTCCTCTCCCAAACACATTCCCCTGGTCTGAGGAGAAAAATATCACACAACTCCCAACTGAGGGACAATCTATAAAGTATCTTATCAGTACTCCTTAAAACTTTGGAGGCATCAAAACCAAGGAAATTTTAAGAAACTGTCATACTCAACAGGAGCCTAAGGAGACATGACTACTAAATATAACGTAGTATAATGAATAGAATCCCCAAACAGAAAAAAAGGATATTAAAGAAAAACTGAGGAAATCTGAATAAAATATACAGTTTAGGGCACTGGGGAGGCCACTAGCTTTCTTTGGACCTCAAAATAAATAAAATAAAATAAAACTGTTCTCTTTGCTTGGCAATGGTGATGCTAATAAACAAAACAAGAGGGTTAATTTCATGTTTTTTAACCAGCTATTTAAAAAATAGCTAAGAAAGGCTGGGCACAGTGGCTCACTACTGTAATCCTAGGATTCTGGGAGGCAGAGGTAGGTAGTTAGACACCAGGCTGAGCAAGACCCCGTCTCTAAAAACTAGCTGGGCATTGTGGCAGGCGCCTGTAGTCCCAGCTTCTCAGGAGGCTGAGGCAAGAGGATCTCTTTAGCCCAAGAGTTTAAGGTTGCTGTGAGCTATGACACCACAGCATGCTACCCAGGGAGACAAAGTAAGACTGTCTCAAAAAAAAAAAAAAAAAAAAAGCAGCAGCAGCTAAAGAAAACAGAAGAAAGGAAAAAAAAATTACCAGTCTTACCTATTTTTTTTAAGTTTGGCTTCAGCCGATGGCATATTTTCTAAGCAACTGGGACAATAATGAGAGTCCACCTAGGAAAAAACAAAAAATCACAAGAAGAGAAATCCAGTTTAGCTTGTATATATAACTTGTTAAATAATGAATTTTGAAATGTGTTATACTGCAGCAGAAGTGAGAAACCACTGACCTGGCCACAAACCTGGACTGTTTCCAGGTTAGGGTTTATTCTTCAGTCATCTGTCTTTTTCTAGCAGATTTTCTAAAACCCTATTTTTCCTTTCCCATCTTTCTTGTTCCATTTCATCAGGGTTTTATGTGTTAAATGTTATCTATGTCATAATTTAAAGTTTCCAATTGAGGAATTCTAAGGAATAGATTAATATAATAAAATTTATAAAGCTGTGCTCAAATATCCTTCTACCTAGTTTAGCTCCATGTGACTGTAATAACTTGACCACACTTTTTAATTGTTAAGGAAGATTAAAAAGCTTTCTCTTTGGCAAGGTAATACATGTTCACTGAGGAAAAGCATAAATTAATACTTACATACTCAGCTATACCCAACGAATCAGAGATTTTCTTTTTCTTGAGACAGAGTCTCAAGCTGTTGCCCTAGGTACAGTGCTGTGCCATCACAGTTCATAGTAACCTCAAACTCTTGGGCTCAAGTGATTCTCTTGCCTCAGCCTCCCAAGTAGTTGGGACTACAGGCACCCACCACAGAGCACGGCTATTTTTTTTTGTTGCAGTTATCATTGTTGTTTTATGGTGGCCCAGGCCTGGTTCAAACCCTCCAGCCTTGGTGTATATGGCTGGTACCCTACCCACTGAGATATGGTCATGGCCCAATTAGAGATTTTTATTTTATTCTATTTGACAAGTATAGGACAGTAGTCACCTAAAGATGGACAGACATTCATTTGAACATATACTATAACAGAAATTGATTTCTTTATTGTCTGCTATAAATAGATCAATTTGAAAAATTTATCAGGTTGCTGCCCAAATAATTTTCAGGAACATAAAATACAGTATTGCTGACTAATATTTTCACTGACTCATCATAAAATGCAAAACACCATTCTTTTTGCCTCCTTTCCAAATTCTGCTTGTCCCTTAACATGCAGCTCCAGACCCAGGTTCTCCATTACAATTTTCTACCTGTCCCAGGCCTCACTAACCTCACCCTTCTCCAAATTTTAATGGCCTCTACATGAAAGGTAGGTATCAGACTGTAAAAGAGGCTGTCATAGACCAGATGTCCCAACTGAAGAAATGCTTATAGAGATCGTGGAGATTGATTACCCTATATCCACTGCAGGAGACTATGATCCAGTAAGTTCTAGGGGTGGTGCTGGAACAGAGAAGCAGCTAAAACAGCGGTTCTCAACCTGTGGGTGGAGACCCACAGGGACTGTATTAAAGGGCTGCAGCATGAGGAAGGTTGAGAACCACTGATGTAAAAGAAAGAGGACCTACCAAGGAGATCACATAAATAAAGAGCTAACAGAGACTACAAGAAAATTCAGGGCCAAATTTTTAATATATATTTGACTTTTCTTCTATTATTTAATTGCTTTCTTTGACTATTTTTTTAATGTCATGAAAATTAACTCCAATGATTATTATCAATAATGTGTAAAATGGGTCACAGTACAAGATGTGTTTTTACATGCATTTTACCCGTTCAGGGATCTTTAGTAAAATTCTGAGTAAGGCTGTTTAGGTCCAAATTCTGGTCCTCTGTTCCACCCCCAAATTATTGGTTGTGTAGCTTAAGGCAAACTCTATTTCTTTAACTGTAAAACAACTTTTTTATTTTATATTATTATTATTTTGAGACAGTTTCAGTTTATTCACCCTCAGTAGAATACCATGGCATCATAGCTCACGGCAACCTCAAACTCTTAGGCTGAAGCAATCCTCTTGCCTCAGCCTCCCAAGTAGCTGGGACCATACTGCCTGCCACAACACCTGGCTATTTTTAGAAATAAGGTCTTGCTCTTGCTCAAGCTGGTCTTGAACTCCTGTCCTCAAGAGATCCTCCTGCCTGGGGCCTTCCAGAGTGCTAGGAGTACAGATCTGAGCCATGGGGCCCAGCCCCTTTATATTATTTTTTATTTTGAGGTACAGTATCACTCTGTTGCCAGGGCTAGAGTTCATTTGTGTCATTAGAGCTCCCTGCAATTCCCAAGGCCTGGGCTCAAGCAATCTTCCTGTTTCAGCCTCCAGACTAGCTAGGGTTACAGGCTCATGCCATGTGGCTTAACTAATTTTTAAATTTCTTGTAGGTAAGGGGGTCTCCTGTCCTCAAGAGATCCTCCTGCCTGAGCCTCCAAAAGTGCTAGGATTACAGGTGTTGAGCCAACACAGCCAGCCTAAAAAAACGTTTTTTGAAGGTATCCATTTCATTAATATGGAGAGATTATATAAAGCATGTACCAAATAGCAATACTGAATATCATATTATTATCAAATTTTTCTTAGACTGAGTTATTACACATTATATTACTATCAAATAGTAATACATTATTACTGAGTAATACATTATATTACTACCAAATTTTTCTTAGACTGAGTTATTAGCAGGGTTTATGTCTTAATATGCCTTTCAAGGCCCAAAGCTTACTGAATGTGCAAGATGTGCCTACTATCGCAGAAGTTTCACGGTTTTGTTATTTGGGGACTTTCTAGTGGCCGGGTTCTTCTACTTTCGGAACGTTTCTAATTCTGACGCTCACTTGTGCCAGTGAAGACAGGACTGTACCCAGACGCCATGAATACAAACCTGGGGCTTAAATGAGACTTTGTTTTAAGCGCTTTTCTATCAACTCACCACATCCCAACCTCCTCCCTGCAGCAGGCCTTGGTCTGAGCCAGGAAATTGGGAAAGACAGTCTGATGGGCACCCAGTTTTGGCCAAAGTAGGGGCAGAACTTCCAGAATAGAAAGGGTCATGAATGAGAATGTCTGCACCTCCTCTCCACGCCCGCCATCAATCTTGGAAAGACGGTTTTTCGCCATTGTGGCCTGAATTAAGTAAGCATCCCCAAACCATTCTTCCCAGTCCACCCAATGCCAAACCCTACAGGAGGCAGTCAGGGTCCCTAAGTCAAGTTTATCCAATCGGAGGCCGCTCTAGAACCAGAAGATCCGCTCAGCCCCACCCTAGCCCGCCTCTACTCTCCAAGTGACAGATTACAAGCAAATTAAATCGCAGACAAAACTGAAAGACAAAAGACAGACCCAATCAACAAGGTAGGACAATAACCCAAACCCGCCTCCAACCGGTGGAACTTCCGGGCCGGTCGCGGTGACTAGGATGAGGCCGGCCGCGCCTCCCCCTCCATGGGACAACTCCGTTACCTCGTGAGACACACATTCCAGCGACCGCAGCTCGCTACAATAGCGACAGAAGTAGAGCTGGGAGAGCGGGGCCCGAACCTTTTTTTCTCCCTGAACCAGGTAGAGAACTCTCTCCGACTGCAGCAAAGACGCCATCTTGGGGAGGGAGGAGCTAACGACACTCCCGCCGCGTCACGTGACCTGAGAGCCTACGTCTTCCTCGGCGTCTTCCCGGCGTCTTTCTACGTAAACTTGACTGGTGTGGCTTTGCACTGGCCGAAATTCAGAGTGCGCCTGCGCAGCTCGTGTCCCAGGTTTCGGCTCCACCCTCGGCTCCTTTCCCAGAATTTTTGTGAGCATCTGCTGCTGAGACTCAGCTCGGTCGTTTCTTTAAGTCTGGACTCGTAGATCAAGTCCAAACAGGCTCACTGCTTTCCTTTTTTTCATTTCTTCCAGAAAGGGAGGCAGCTCTTTTATTTAATTTAGAACGTCCCTCCCACCATCGAAGAGGACATCGAGGAGCAGGTGGAAGGTCCCAAAGGAACAGAGTTTCACAGCAACTGGAAAGCTGAGAATTAGTCTCAGCAGCTCTTTCTTTTGAGGCTTGCCAATGACCTATAAGAAACTTTCGCATACATTTTCTCATTTGGGACTTCTTAGTGAACTCTACGCCGAGGCTCTGTCTCAGTTGTTTCCAGGTTTTGAGTACATACTTTGCATTAGAACGAAGTCTATTTTGTGGGTGTTCAGTAAGTATAGATGAGTGAAGGAATGAAATCACTGAATGAACGATGTTGGTAGGTGTCCACATTTTTCTAATACCTCAACTAAGACTTAGATATGTACAGTGGCCACCTAAAACTGGCTAGCAGAGACTGGGGCCCATGTTGGGTATTACCAGGTCTTTGTATTTCTGATTGTACTAATGTATTATCTAGCTGACATTAGAATTGGTGCTTGAGAGGAAGGAAAGCTGAATACTATTAAGCAAACATTTATGGAGCACTTATTAAGTGCAGGACACTGTGTCAGTTTATATACGTTGTCTCATTTAATCCTCCCCTGAACCTTAAAAGGCATGTACTATTAACATATCCTGCAGAGACAAGAGATTAGCCCAGAGTTAGAGCAGACCCTTGTCAAACCACATTCTTATCCTCAGTTCCCCTGGTAACTAACCAACCCCCAACCCTGTAAATCTTACCTTACAAAAATTCCACCTACCTACCTCCCCCCTCAACTAAAAAAAGATACAAAAACTCCCTTCTTTTGTCATGTGGGTGCCAAGAATTTTTTTAGGTGTGAACCTTTTCTCGGTAGACCAGCCAATAAGGGACCCCATACCTAATTTAAACTCAATGTGCTAACGTTTTTCTATAATTCCACTCGCCATGGGCAGAGCAGGAAACTGAGACTCAGGGAAGTACAGGACTTGTCTAAGGTTTCACAGAGGTAGAACTCTGTTCTGACTCCAGAGCTTGGGTGTGTTATTTCTATGTATACTGCTTACAGTATATTTAGTAATATTTTACAATACCTTATATATATGTAGCTTTTCAATTTACATCAGTGCTTTCATGTACATATTTACTAATTATCTCACAACTTGTGTTGCACTTTAACAATTTATGCCTGAAAGTCATTAAATTGCATTTACTCTGAACTTTTGTTCACCAAGCAACAACGTGGTCCTAATTTAGTTTCTAAAAGTGGCTGCTTCTTTTAGAAGAAAATGTATTGCTAGCCAACTGATTTGTAGTTATTTGTATTAATAAGTCATTTACTTTTTTGTTTATCAGCTTAGTCTCTGCTAGTTTGAATCCCTTTTCCTGAGCTAATCTCCCCTGGTAAAATGAAGTCCCAGAGCCTGTAGGTGCAGAGATGCCACAGACTTGAGCTACTCCAGGCGAAATAGATACTTTTTCGAGGACTGAAAAATTTTAGTAGACAATTATCTGGTCTCTATTATTTGCCAGGTGCTGGGGAGGGAACCAGGGATAAATGAGACACTTTCTGCTCTCACTTGGCTCAGAATCTAAAGCCCTGGGGCAGTATTTCTCAAGCGTGGTCCTGGATCACCTACACATGCAAGAATTTACTGGAGCGATTTGTAAGTGTAGATTCTAGGCCCTTTCCAATACCTAAATTGGTATTTTGGGGGGAAAGGGGAAATTTAGGAAGCTAAATTTTTAGTAAGCTCCCAGGTGAATGTCATGTTCACTAAATTGGAGAAGTATTGCTTTTATAATCACTTATTTAATTTTCTGTCTTTGGTCTTGGGACTGGGCATAGTGGACCTTGTCTCTGCTGTCTTTTGACCATTGATAGCACCATGTAGTAGAATATTAGACATTCTGTTCCTGTGGTGCCGTGAAATATGGAAAGTCTATCATGGGAGAAAACTGAAAGCATCTATCTCTTGCCAGGGCCCTCTCTCCCCCTCCAAAGAGCCTGGATTCTATTCTCCACAGTTGCAGTTCCGCAGAGCCCTATTTGCCAGACTCTGAAAATAAGACTTGACTTTGAAAATCTGTGCTCTGCTACCAACTCTAGTCCCAGGTCCAGGCCCTCCCCTGACCTTTTATTATTAATTATGTAATTAATACATGAATACATTCTTGGTTACCTCTGGGAATCTGACAAACCTGGAAGTGTGAAAGAATTAACATTCTGTGGGGTAACCTTTGACCAAAGTAGAGTCCACACCTGTAAATAAATATCTCCCTTTCTCTCAGAAGTTCTCTGTGGTTCTTTAGTACATTCTAGCAGGTTGGAGGCCTAGTTGCACACAATGATCAACTTGATAATGTATCCTGGCATTTCTTTTTCACTCTACCTAGTCTTAAGCTCACGCTGTTTCACTGAGATCACTTATTGTTGGCTCCCTGCCTGCAAGCTCTCATGTTCAGCTCTGCTTTCAAAGGGAGAGCTTAAGCTAAGACAGAGACCCAAAGCTGAACTGCCAGATCAAAGGGAAACCTTATTTTGGCTTGGCACCTGTAGCTCAGCAGCTAGGGCACCAGCCACATATACCAGGGCTGGCAGGTTCAAATCAGCCCTGGCTGAGGCAAGAGAATCATTTGAGCCCAGGAGTTTGAGGTTGCACTGAGCTATGATCACACCACTACCCTCCAGCTTGGGTGACCGAGCAAGACCCTGTCTCTTTAAAAAAAAAAAAAGAGAGAGAAAAGAAAAGAGTCCTTCAGAGTAAATTTACAATAATAACTTAAAATACTGGAAGTCAGTCAGATGTTAGTCAAATGAGGTCTTGTGGTGGGAGCCTGAATTTGGTCTCTGACACGAAACCTTAGGGTCCTCTATAGCTCATGAACCCTGGAGAACTGCCATGACCAATACTGGCTGCCTGCCAGGGCTGCCTGCCAGGGCTGCCTTCCCCGCTTTGGGTTTCCTGCTTGAAATCTGCTTTAATCATAGGTTTTCCTGCACTGACTCTATCTGCAGACTCATCTAAAAGTCATAGTGAACTAGGGGGAGGAAAAACAGGCAGCTGTTTCATCAATACCCCTCTTGGCCCCTCACAGGCCCCGCCCAGGAAATGTGGTGTTGGCCTGGCTAAAGCTCCTTTCCCAAGTGTAAGGGAGACAAAGGGCCGGGGGCCTGCTTTCATTCACTAGACTTGGAATTGTTTTCTTTGCTTGTTTGTTTTTCTACACAACTTCTCATCTTCTCCCATATACCTTGTGCTCCTATTGTAACTATACTCTTACCCGCACATAGCTATCCTGGCCACAGACCTGGGGGCTTCCCGAGGCTCCTTCCTTTGATTCTACCTCTGGAACAGCTCTAAGTAGTGACTTTCTTCATGCTCTTGGCCATCGCTTTAATACAGAACATAACAATTTTTCTTCTGGACTTACTGCAGCTTCCTGACTGCTACTCAGTCTTTCTAAAAACTGTATTTTGTTCTTTAGCCTTTTTTGTTGTAGTTTAGCCATTTAATGGCTCTCCATCACCTATAGGACAAACCTCCGAATTCCTGGATTAGCTTGAGGGTGACATCAAGGAACATGCAAGCCAGAAGTGACCTTACAGATTAGTCCCTATTGCTCATTTTAATGTAGAAAGAAGATAGACTTAGTTAAAGCTGGGGGTTGGGCTCGGCGCCTGTGGCTCAAGCAGCTAAGGCGTCAGCCACATACACCTAAGGTGGCGGGTTCGAATCCCCAGCCCGGGCCCGCCAAACAACAATGATGGCTGCAACCAAAAAATGGCCAGGCGTTGTGGCGGGCACCTGTAGTCCCAGCTACTTGGGAGGCGGAGGCAGGAGACTCGCTTGAGCCCAGGAGTTGGAGGTTGCTGTGAGTGTGATGCCATGGCACTCTACCCAGGGGGATAGCTTGAGGCTCCGTCTCAAAAAAAATAAAATAAAATAAAAAATAAAGCTGGGGGTTGCACTCAGGTCTCGGTTCCAAGTTTCTTGCTTTTACTGTATTTTGGTGCCTCTTGCTAAAGGAAAAATTATTCCATGATGTTTGTTAAAAGACTTTATGTAGGACCATCACAATAGGTATTGGAACCACTGCAACAAGGTCTTACGGGGGGGGGGGGAAGAGATGATGTTCAACTCTGAATATAGTATAGCCAAGTGGGCATTTGTAGCCAAGAGCAAGGAGGAAATCAGTGGAAGGAAAATTACTAAGAGGAACATTAAACATCAGGGGTAAGGAAGATTTTGGCTAAACAGACCTGGCAGGATTCTTGCTGAGGACAGGCTGGGGCAATCAGATATCACCTCGGGGATGGTGGTGGATGAAAAACCCAATCATGGGGTAGGGGTAGGGTAAATTGATAAATTCGCTTAGCAGTATTTTTTGCTAAAACTGGATTTTACAAGGAAGTGCAAAGATGGGTTTAGGAGACGATTGAGAAGTCTGACTAAACAGAATCTTTATCACTTTCCAATCCCCCAAACCCAAGGATTCTTTCTAGGAGACCACCAGCATATTGCGTACTGAATTAGGTTAATAGAGTCAAAGCCCGAATTCCCACCCAACTCAGTGAGGGCCCAGCACAGATTAAGCTTGCAAAAAGAATTTGTTGAATGGATGAATACTATTTTCAACTATCTGGAACTTGCTGGCATATGGAAACCAGCAACTAAAAAAAAAAATTTTTTTTTCCTCTTTAAGTAATTCCTTTTCTAGGAACAGGGCAAGGGAGAAAAATTGCGATTTTATTTTTTTTTTTTTTGAGACAGAATGTTACTTGGACCACTATGGTCCCCATAGTGCCA